CTGAATTCTGAAGGTATTCCAATAAATAAAATTACACTTATCTCCCATTGTTGTATTTAATTTTGTGACATGAAAATTACTCAAATATACAATCAAATGCTTATGTTTAAAACATATTCTCTCTCTCTCTCTCTCTCTCTCATACACACACACACACACACACACACACACACACACACACACACACAGAAGCATACAGCCACCTCCCACCCCCACCTCCAAAAAAAAGTAAATAAAAAGAAAAGCCCTACTAGCTGTTTCAGGCCAGCAATCAATCCAATTTACTGCAGGTACAATTTATATGTACAGTGCATGCCACAACAAAACCACAGTATGATGCCAACAGGGCCCTTAAGAAAGTTTCCCCTAAATCTCTGGAAAGGAGCTTTAAAAGAAAGCGAGGATTACAGTCAGCTAGAAGGTAGGGAGGGGACTTACCTCAAACCCAGCCAAGCGGAAATCAGAGCAGTAATTCTACAAGTCGACAGAGTACACTTTCAAAGCTATAATGGTGTGAAGAAGTGCCGGGCAGCATGGCCTGAAGGCAGCACTAATACACTGATGACTAATGGCTGGGCCTGGGCAGACAATGAATTTGGGGCTTGAAAACTAACAGAAACCATGCAGTACTTTGACAAATGGGCTTTCAGAATTTCATTCATTGAATAACCTTTAAGCACAAAATTGGCTTGAGTTCTCTTGGGAATTACATGACATGTTGTTGGATGATGATGTAAGTATTTTCTTTTTTAATTATGACTCTTATGCAAAATGCAAAAGCCCCATCTATAAGGACACAACTATAGATACTACAGATGCTGATGAGGAACTCAATATAGTATTGCCTTTCCAGAGGGGGCTGAAATGTTCCAGTGCCACCTTATTAACTATGTAATGGCTTGTTCATTCAGTTTCTTAAGAAAGCCATAGACTTTTCTGGAACATTTTGTTGAGTTGAAATATATACACACAAAACAAAATACACTTTCACATTAAACACACATACACACACTAAAAGTGGTCATAAGTAGTTAAAAACGCGAGTCCAAAATTTAGTGCATTTGGAATTGTAAATGGAAAAAGTCTAATGTTCAGGGACCAGGTAAAGAAAAAGTATTTTAAAACAACTGAGACACCACATAAAGTTTGCAATTGTATGCGCTTACCAAACACTTTTAACATACAATTTCTTAATTTTGGCAATTTTTAAGGCAAGAATAAAATATCTAAAGTGTCTCTAAATTAACAAACACCATTTACTCCAGACAGCATTGCCCTTAGCAGCTCCTAAAAACTTAAGAAAAGGATCTTAAAACAGGAAGCTTAGTGAGCTCATAAAACTGTTGTTGGAGCCAGGAACACATAGCATATTTAATCTGCAAACTGTGAGAGTCTACAGTGATTTCAGCAAGATCTGAGGCATGCCCTCAAGGTTTGCTGGGATCTGGGATTAGGGGGTTGATAAGAACCTCTACTGCCCATGGACATGTTTTTCTTCTGCAGTTAAACACAAATGCATAGAGACGTTTGACTGCTGCTTGGCGTTACTGCTCAAGTTATATAAAAGCTTTGCAGCTCCTTTTGCTGTCAATATATCAAAGTTTAAAAAAAAAATCATCAAAGTGTGAAATTTCATTTAAAGTCTTCACCAGTCTACAGCTCTATTTCACAGGCCCATCAAATAAAAGTATAAAGATGAAAAAATACACTGAAAGTACTTGAAAAAGTTTGCAGCAGTATCCCTGCCTTCTTGTTGTTTATTCTGTCTCCCATTATTTGCTTTGAAACTAGAATGAATCAATTTTCATCCAAAAAAAAAAAAAAATGACAGTATGAAGTGAAAGGCAGCATCTTCTACTAGTCCTTAATGAAAAGACAACCTTAAGTTATTATTAGAGTGGAAACTTCTGTTTAACAAATTAAATTTTATACACACACACAACTTCCTCTACAGCCATTTCAGCATTTTAATTGCCTTTCATGATAAAAATTGGCAGAAAATTTCTTGAATCTTACAAAACAAATCAGACCGACAATAGAATATAAATGCCAGCAAAACTAAAACCTCCTTCAAAGAATTCCTTAGCTGAGGATTTATAACAATTGCATAAAGAAGAAAAGTCTGACTTTTAAGATAATCTACTATAGTCTGAAAGCATTAACATTCCATTACTAAGGTTTTCTTGAGGATTTCATGACTCATTGATTCACTTTTCCTTCAAGACTGGTTTTTCTTAGTACATTACTGTCTCCATATAAGTGAGTGCATGCAACAACGATCATTAAATTGTTTCCTTTCATAAACTCCCAAACCCTAACCTCCAAAAACAGGGGAAGGGAAGCTCAGTAGGCAGGATACCTTATAGAGAATGAAGGATCTCTAAATGGCAAAGTGCAGGGAAAGTCGGAAACCCTCACTGCATGCAGGTAATTAAGAAAACTGGCCAAGAAACAAAGGAAAGTTCAACTTTTAGGCTTGGACATCAAATTGATAAATTAATGATCTTTCATTATATAAGTAATGAAATAACTCAACAGAGTCATTTTTCATCAGCAGCGAATTTTCTCATTTCTGTCTGTGGCCCTTTGCAAATTAGACATACAATAAAAATGTGTTTATATCGGGCTTCAGTCAAGGAAAACAAACACACTATGGATACCGGGAATTGGTAGGAATCGGAGTTGGTCTTGTATGAGCCTAGTAATAATAATACAATCTATACCTTGTAAAGTGTTTCCGCATGTGTGAAATTTCACTAGACACTTCTCACATTGGACTCCTTCAAGCAGCTTAAACCAAAGCTCCCCAGACTGACTTTAAGAATTATATACCCTGAAAGGATCTCCCCTTAGGCATTGGGGTTTCTAATTAAATCGCTTTTAGTATAAAATAAACTCTCTTCTCTCTATAAGTATGCTGTTACAACTAATTTAAATGTTATTTCATGTTTGTTTTAGGTCTGACTATAATCTAACTGCCCAAAGTGTTTGTACACCAGGTTGTTAAGACCAATATTCCCTAACATAAACAAATTCTTTAGATACTTCACACAGTTTACATTGTTAAGACCAATCACCACTGTTCTAATACAGCTCCTCAACTGAAATACTGCTCTGTTTTAGAAAAATGAAGAGATTTGAGGCTATTTCACTACTTTAAAACACAGCATTTCCTCCTTCAAAATAATCTTGACACATGTAATTAAGAAACTGTCAGACTACTATTAATTTTTAATTTAAAACCTAAATGAAATAATTACGGGAATCAATCAATAAGGCACCTATTCAAATTACAGAGCAATTACATAAATACTCAAAAGTAATACTTAAGACCAATTCTTGAAGATTTCGGTCTATAATATAAGTCATCAAACAACACAGAAAAGTGTAACATGGGAATGATGAATAGCTCCTGCCATAAATAGACTGAAATGAGATCATTTCAGTTGGCCATGGCAAAGGCCCCCCACCAGCCATGCCCATGGACTCAAGCTGGAACTCCCTTTAAAAGTTAATTTATTTCCACCGGACACATATTTCAAGGATGATATATATACACACATGCACATATATATGGTCTCATCCAAATTCTGTACAGATCACATTTGAGGGGTAAAGTCTAATTATTGTGCATTTACAGCAAAGTACTCTGGAATGACTAATTGGGGAAAAGAGAGGAAAGGAGAACAGGAGGTGTTTTTAGACCTAATAATATCAGTCTGGCAAATGGCACTGCCCTGTCTTTGCACAAGGGCAGGCCCTCCATACCTCTGACTAAAGGGCTCTTTTACTTGGAGATGCGGACAGTCCATCATTTCAAACTGAAATGGCAGCTGGAAAATGTGGAACAGCTGGCGAAGAGCTGGGAGAAAATGTTTTACATAAATATATGTACATATAAACTGGCAGAGGGCCACGAGCACTGTACCCAAGGCCAGAATCTATTCCATGCTGCTGCACACCCGGGAGACAAGAAGTTGAGGGCACAAAGAGCAAGGAAGAGGGTGCCAGGGAAGCCCAGGTCAGGCCCCTCTCAGGATGGCATCTTCTGAAGTAGGTGCAGTCAGGCACAGAAGCACAAAGTTCAGGGAAGGATAAAATGCCGGGGTGTGTGGTGGGGCTTTGGCATCTAGCAATCTGCTTAAAAGTCACTTCACAAACTCTCCAAGTTTGGGGTAAATATTTACTCCCTCTCCACCTCCTCCCGCCCATTTTCCCTCTGCAGCTCAAGAAAGTAACTGTCCCCTGCTGAGTGATTCATACCCAACTCTGCTTGGCGAAAATTCGGCCTCTTAAATGATTATACGGGGTCACAGTTACCCACACACCCGCATTCACTCATTCACTCCCTACAGGATCTAAGCTTTTCTTTCTTTTCTTTTTCTTTCTTTCTTTTTTTTTTTTTCTTCTTTTGGTGCTCTCCTAGAAAGGAAACGAAATAACAGAGAATCCCAAATCATACACAGATGGTACAACTTTCACTTTTCCTCGCAGAGACAGAGGCGCGTCTTTCTCGCAGGGTTCACGCCACACCCCCGCCCTGGAGGGGAGCACCGGCAGGAGAAGCCCCCGCACCCGCAGGACCCACCTCGCCGCCCTCCGCCCGCCGCGCGCTGCCCCCGAGGGGGGACGCGGCCGTGCACGGCAGGACCCGGGGGCGCGGGGTCTAACACTGCTGCTTTGACCCTTCTGGGTGGAAAGCGGGGACGCGCGGAGCCGCAGCCTGCACTGCAAACTTCGTCCCCTGAGTTCCCCCTTCGGGATGCGAAGCTGCCCAGGTCCTCTCCGACGGACCTTCGAGAGAGGGGAGCGCGTGAAAGCCTGGCTCCGCCGCGCAACCGGCCGCTCTGTGAATCTGGGCGCCTTTTGACAGCCATTTTCCCTCCGGCGCCCCCTTCCCGGGATGGAGCCCCCTCCAGACCCAGAGGCGCGGGCGCGGCCGCCGGAGCCGGCTGTCCGGTGCGGGGCCGGCGAGACAAAGAACTTCGGGCGGGACGTACCTGCGGCGGCGGCGACTGTCAAGTCCCCAAACTTCCCACAGACCCGCGTCCGAGGCGCGGGCGGGCGGCTCCGGGCTCCGGGCGGCCCCGGGGGGCGCGGGCTACGGCGCGCGGCGGGGCCGGGCGCGGGGCGCGCAGGCGGCGGACATGGTGCGGCGCGGGGCGCGCGGGGCGCGCGGGGCGGGCGAGCGGGCGGGTCCGGGCGGCGAGGGTGCGAGCGCGAGTGTGCGAGCGCCGGCGGCGCGGCCCCTGCCCGCTCCCTCCCGCGCGCGCAGCCCCGGCAGCGGCTTCGGGGGCCGTGTAACCCGATCCCCTCTGACTCACAGGCCTGAGTGACAGTTCTGATTCGGTTCCCCCGCGGAGGGAGGGAGGGAGGAGGAAGAAAGCGGGCCCCGCCGTCCCTCCCGCCGGGCATCCACGCCGCTTTCCGCCGGAGGGGCCCGGCCGGCCCGCAGCCCCGCACCGGCCGCAGGCGCCCCCCGCCCCGCCCCGCCCCCGTGCAGCCCGCGCGACTCACGGGCGGCAAAGTTGTCCCCGCGCCGCGCGCAGCCTCCCCCGCGCGCCCTCCTGCCCTCCGCGTCCTGCGCCCCGCGCTCCTCCTCCCCCAAGTTTTAACAGATGTGGCCGGACCCCCTCTCCGCTCCCCGCGCCCCCCGCCCCGTCCCGCCCCGCCCCGCCCCGCCCCGCCCCCTTCCTTCGCGGCCCGGGCTCGGGGGACGCGCGGAGGAGCAGGACGCCCGCCGCCGCAGGGGGCGAAGTTGGGAAAACTTGGAGCGCGGCTCCCCTTACTTTTGCTTTCTCGCTCCTTCCAGGCCGCGCGGGGGGCCCGCGCTTTCCCGCCCGCCGGGCGCCCGAACCGGGCGCGGGTCCCAGCGGCCAGGCGGGCGGCCCAGGCGAGGTGAGGCGCGCACCGCCCGGCCCCGGGGCGCTCGGCGAGCCCGGGCGGGGGCTGAGAGGCGGAGGGGGAGACGGGCGTCCGGAGCCACGCGCGCACTCCCGCCCCGGCCTCCGCCTCCGCCCCTCCCAGATCCTCGCCCAGACGCCTGCTCCCCGCTCCTCCTCTTCCCCCTCCTTGACCCCGGGCCCGCTCGGCGCGCCGAGGCCCCACCCACCCGGCTAGGGAAGGGGTTCGGGGGTGAAGTCACGCGCGCCCTCCCCACCGGCGCTCCGGCACCCTCGTTACGCCCCCACTTCCCCACCCCCCCCCCAGCGCACGGTGCACCCCACTGCGCCCTCTCGTCTTTCACCGCCTCCCATCCGGCCTCTTAGCTCCCCTTCCCCCCCGCTTCCCAATTTTGGTCTCCCCTTTATTCACCGCAGGCCGGTCACCTCTCCCCCCTCCCCTCCTTCCTGGTTTCAACGCTTCCCGAGGCTAACCCTGAAACTCTTCCCGCCTGAAGATGCTTTTGGAAGTTCAGGGTTTCTTGCTACACCGGATTCATCTGCCCCTGGGGCCAAATCTGTGAAATGGGAGCACCCACTACGGCCTGCTGTCCCCTCGGGCCACTGTGCAAAGGACTCCAGCGAAAACCCTCAGGTAGAGCCTGACTGCGACGCGTTACTGTCTGGATATGTTCTCAGCGCCCATACTAGTGAAAATCATCCCCCTCCTTCCTCAAACGGCCAGCCGACAGTGATCTGTTCCCTTTCACGGTACCCACCCGGGCCAGAAACTTAAAATTGGAGTTCGGGGTCAATGAAGGAAGAAAAAGACAGAAAGGAAAGGAGAGAAAACCCCGATGGCATTCCAAAATCCGTTCTTCCGCTGGTAAGTTGAGAGTCTGCCCACCCACCCACCCTCTGCCAGCAGCGCCGGGGAGCTCAAGGTGCACTTGTGTTGACTCGCTGAGAGTCTTGACTGAAGGAAGAGAGTGGGTGGATGAATGATTAGCTATTATGATTTGAAGAGCGTTTTGAGATTCAAATGCTTAGCTGGAGAATTTCTTTTAACGGACTGGATGAGGGTATTCCTATTTGCTGGGACTTGTTGCTTATCTCAAAGACACTACAAATGCGGACCCTGAAGATCTGTTATGGTGGAAGTGATGGAGATAAAGAAGGGCTGACAGTCCTTTTAAGTCATTTATTTTAAGATTTTTTCTCTCTACGTCACCACTTCTAAAATAAATAAATAAACTCCACACAGAAGAGGTTTCTTCAGAATCCATGGGTTTCGGTCCCAGCTTCCCTTCACTGCCTTGCCTCACACCCAAGTGGATCTCTGATCCATCCTAGGCTCTGAGCCCATGTGGGGTATTGATAGCCAAATCAAGCTGCACACCTTCCAGGATTTGTATGGGTTTCCAATGAGATGAGGCATTTGAAAGTATAAAGAAACACAAATGTGTGAGAAATATTATTACACTTTTTGCAATTGCAGCGTTGCAAGCTACTCATTCCTGGATATACTCCTTTGGCATCAGTCAAGTTACTGCTTCTGCCTCAGTCACATGAATGCAAATAATACATCCTGATAGTCTCCTCTGTTCACCAATGGCAAAAATAAATAAATAAATAAAAAGACAGCCAATAAATCAACAGCTGGATAAACTATATATTTTGACTTTTACTTAAAACACTCCTCTCCACATTTCGGATCATGAAGATCTTGATTTTCAGTTTTTAAAAAGACAGAAACAAAGAAAAGTAGCTAATCTTTCCCTGTCAGCCATCAGAATATGCCAAAAAAAAAAAAAAGAGAGAGAGAGAGAGAGAAATAATGCTGGTGTCTGTGTCTCCCCTATTTCCCCACCTCAGACTCTGGCAGAAAATAACTGCTTTCTGATTTGATGCTAAACAAATAAGTAGAGTGGGCACATTTTGCAGAACTGTCAAGAGGGGAAAAAAATCATGATTTGCCTTAGTGTGAGTTAAATAATGCCATAATGCAGTGACTTTCTATGTATTTTAACACAGAACTCTTTCCAAATGAAATCTCACGTGGAATCCCGAAATATAAAAGAGTACAACTCTGAGTGTAGTTGCATGGCAGGGGGAGGGGGGAGTGTCTCAGAGGCCAGCACTCTAAGCCTTTATGCCATCACCAACAACCTTTTCTGCAAGGGCACCTGAGACTTTTTTTTTTAAAAACCCAAGGTCAACCTGACACTTGATATTGGAGCCTATTATAATGGTAAGCAGGCACTTAAACATTTACTGGACTCAGGTTGTTCTTCCTTCATATCTAAAATTCTACCCTTATAGATTCCTTTGTTGTGCACTCTCATCAGTTCTTTCAAATGCAGTTGTCCTAGGGAATTTTAAGGTATTAGTCTTCCAAATGATCATGCTTATAAAGACAGATTTTTTTTTAACAATAAATAACATGAAGTACAAGAGATGAAGATATTTGTATTTGATTCCTAAGGCTACCATAACAAAGTACCACAGACTGGGTTTAAAACAACAAAAATCAATTGTCTGTTCTGAAGGCTAGAAGTTTGCAATCAAGGTCTTGGCAGGTTTGTGCTCCCTCCAAAAACCTCTAAGGGAAAATCCTCCTAGCTTCCTGGCTATCAGTCCTTAGAGTTCCTTGGTTTGTGGCTACTTCACTCTGGCCTCTGCTTCTGTAGTTCTGTGGCATATGGCATGCCCCCTTTTTTGTCCTCTCCTGTTCCTCAGGAAAGCAGTCACATTGGATTAGAGGCCCACCCTGTGCTTGTAGGACTTCTTCATCTAAATAACTGAGTACATTTAGAAACCCTGTTTCTGAACGCAGGGCTCTGCATTGTGGACTGCAGGGCAAGACAGACATTTTCCCACCACTGCCCAAGCAGCTGGAGCCATCAGGAAAATGTGGCTTTTTCCTTGCCTGAGCAAAAAGGTGGTGCTTGGGGGCAGCTAGGTTAAAATGGTATAATCGGTCACTTAGATTTGAAAATGGTCCAATCAGGCAGGTATCAATAGGGCAGGGGACACCGAGCGAGGATATAAGACAACTTGAGTCATCTTGAGGGCCCCAGACTCCCAGATTCCTCATAGTCTGTTTCTGGCCTCAGAAGAAAGAAGATGCATCCAGCAACTTGACCTCTGAAGAGAGACGCTGAAGAGTTTTGCAATGACTGGGAGGCTGCACCTGCCTTCTGTCTTGCTGCTGCCACTGCCTGAAAGGAGCTCCAAAGGCCCCTGACCTGGTGTCTCAAAGAGCTGTTGTTGGTGTAGCCAATGACTCACAAAGAGCTGTATCTGTCCAGCAGCACCTCCTGGGGCTGCTGCCTTCGTTGCTCTCTGGTCCAGTGTCAGGTGCTGTCCAGCCAACCTTCAGACTGTTGCTGTGGGCTGCTTTGTCATCATCTCAGCAGCCCCACCTGTGAGCACCACCAGCTGTGATGAGTTGACTCCTGGCACACTGCTTTCTGTTGTGCTATGGGCTCCAGGTCCTCAATGAAGAGACAGCACCATCTTGGATGAAAGGTCTTTTGTTTGGGACTTCTGATCACTGTGATCACTATCTGGCGTAAGACAGTTGGCCACCCGTGGCCTTAGAAACTCCTTGTTTCCTCTGTTTGTTAAATAAACCCCATTTTATTGTTGTTCCCTGAGCCTGAGTGGTCTTGCAATTGTGTGTGCAGGTGAAAATCCACAGTGACCTGTTGTTGTGCCAGCAAGACACAGAGCAGGAGCTCTATGATCCTATGATCGGGGCAGACTGGTGAGGAGAGTCCTGGAGCCCTCGGTGGCTTTTTCAGGCTTTTATTGAACTTTTACCAGGTACACGGCAGGCAAGGGTGCCTGGGGGCCAGGAGGCTGGCAGGTCTTCCGGCCTCCAGTGAATCTTTACTATTTCTGGGCTCTCCTGTGTTCTCTCGTGGCCTCTGCTTCCCTGCTGGTTCTGCTCTCCTGTTGCGCTCTCCTGCTGGTTCCATTCCACTGGCGTCCCGGGTACGCCACCCTTATAAGCCCAGTCTCAGCCTAGCTATGCCCACCTATGCCTGTCCATACCCCACTCCACGTGTCTGCCATCAGCCATGCATGTAGGACCGCAGGGATCTATTATCAATGCTAATGGCGGATGGCGCGGAGGGTGGAAAAGCTTGACACTTTTTCTCTTACCCTACACCTCTTCTCTGTTGGGCACTGTCTTTGGGTGGCTATAGCAGCCCTATAGCCCTGTTTAATTTCCATATAAGATCACATTCTAGCTTCCAGGCATTTGAACATCAACATGTCTTTTTTTTGGGGGGGGAGCAAAATTAAACCTGTAGAAATACTGAAAGAGGAACAAAGTGAATCTGCATTTGAGTACTCCTCTGCACTTTTCCCCTGTCCTGTGTGCTATACAGAGTTGTTGTTCCTTCCCTACTTGCCTTTGCTGCTCTTCCATCTCCTGGCACAGTAGCACCTAATTAATTATTGGGAAATTTCAAGAGGCTATTTCATGTGTATTGATAAACTTGCAGCTGAAAATGACATTATTTCAACTCATATTGACTTTAAAAAAGGGGAGGGGCTATTATTTTATTGGCTGAAAAGTTCCAGAGTGTGTTGGTACTCTTCAGGCAAGGCAGGATGCAAACAATGTCTATTGGGTTCTATTTCCATCCTTCAGCCCAGCTTTATTCACATTCCATACAAACTTCCTTTCAGCAACTAAGGAAGATAGCCAGAGGCAGTCACATTTCTTATCATCAGTTTTATGCTTTTCATTCCCAGAAAATAATCATCAAGGTGGAATAGTCCCCTTAGCCAGGCAAAAGAGAGGTTGCCTGCCAGGTTAACAGCACATGTCTTCTATAAAGACCAACACAGCAGCCACCTTTTTCTTTCTCTTCTTCCCTGTCTGGCTGTGTAGACACAGGAGTGCACTATTGCTTCAGTGGCCCGTCACAGAGCCACAGAGCTGCCCAGCAGTCGGCGGTGGCTCAGGCATTCTCAGTGCACCAAAGTGGCAGTATATTCTGCACCCCCCCGCCCCCATGTGGGGAGAAGAATTCTCTTTCTCTTTGGAGTTATATTTGATCACAAGACTCTTAATATGTTAGTCCCTATGTATTTTCATTTTGAAAACAGCTCAGATTCACTGAGAAAATTTATCCCCTTAAAGATTAAAACCACTTTGGACACAAACTTAAGTTCAAATTCAAGTCCAAATGAAGGATCTCTTAATGCTAATATATATATCCATGACCACCCATCCACCCATCCATCTGCAAGTGAGGTTTTACCATTGGACCTGCCTATCAACTGCATGCTCTCTTCGCTTATGGTAAGTTATTTCCCAGGAGTCTCCTAGGTCTGGCATGCAGATAGATTCCTCGTAGACAACAAAACTAGCCCACCCAACATTTCCAAACATTTCTGAATTACAGCAGAGAATACAATTTAATGCAGAAACTAGAGCCTTTAATGTCTCCCTCTGTTCTATAGGTCTTTCAGAAGTTTGTGTGCATCCTTAAGATATTCCCTAAAGAGTCTCAATACTTTGGGTGGCAGATGAACATTGCATCCGTGACATTTTAGAACCAGAGTCCAAACAAAAATAAGGATCTAGTATCCATACTCCCCTGCAACTGAGCTGCCTCCTGAAAAGGCTGTTTCTCCCCGCCAGCCCCCCCCCCTCCCCCAGCCAGGAAGTCCAGACTTGCAGTTACTTCATTGATGCAAATAAAAGGAAGGGGGGAACTTGGCCCCTGTGGATACAAAAAGGAAATAGAACAAAGGTTTCGGACCCCAGTGTCACCCATCTCTTTACTCTCTCCCTCTCACTCCTCCCCCTTATTTTTTTTTTTCCCTCTCTTTTTGTGTCTCTTTCTGTCCTCACTCCGGCTGTCTTCCTGTAACAAAACTCACACATGTGTGAGAAAGGAGAGGGAAACGTGTGTCTGCCAGCCTGGTCTAGTCCAAAAGTCCTACTTGTATGTATAGTCACTGTATCCTCACAGGCAAACACTGCAAGATCAAGACCCCAGGATATTGAGCTTCTCAAGAGCTGTTCTTAGCATCTTAATGGGCACAGATATAACCAGAAGGTATCCAGAAAATTCCATTCAGATTGGACAAGACAAGTCATGGCCTTCCCCTCCTCACTCTTCCTAGTTTCCTAAAGTGCTTTCTTCTGCACCTTCCCCCCCCCCCCCCCCCCCAAGGACTATGACAGCAATTCTGTGGCCATTCTGATTTGACTTCCTGAGGACAACGCTGAACCCAGTTAGGTCTCCTGCTGTCCCCCTTTTTCATTCCCTGGTTCTGTAAGCAGTGGGCCAGTCCTGTGCATATAAGGATTTCAGCACAATCCCCAGCCACACAACTGTCTCCAGGGTGGCCCAGGAAAGAAAACACTTTCAAAGGTGGCACCAAGTAGACAGACCTGAGTTCTTGGGCTGACTGGCTAACAGCCAGAGGGAGAATGCTTTTAAGTGCATCACACCAATGCCCTTCTGCGGGCGCTCACTCAGCACCCGTGTAACTTACTCTTCCATCTTCCTGGAACACTGGGATTATAAATGTATCCCAGATGTCTGCTGTGTCCCTCTTCACCTTAGAGATGTAACTATAATTGACTTGGACCTTAGCCAATCCCACAGCTTGGGAAGACCTAAAGCCCTCCCTTTGGATGTCTGCAAATTTCAGGACCTCTGTGGTGCTGCTTGACCTTTACACCCTACTCAGAACCTTACCCACTTCACAGAATACCCACCCACAAGGGCCTTGGGGTGAGCCTGATAAATTTTTACTGTTAAATTGGTCAGTCCAGGGATGCTTTTCTCCATCCTTCTCTCACAAATAAGTTTCTCCATGTGTCACACACAAAGTATTTTAGTGAGGAGGGTTCACCTTCAATTCCCACCCCTCCTGCTCAAGGACTTATTCAAGTGATATGCTGGTTACATTTAACTCTTTCGTCTCCCTGAGTCCTGATCATCCACTACCTTCCTGATCATCTCTCACCCATCTGGCAGCAATGCTTAGCACTTCGTTGACTTTCCTTAAAGCTAAGGTAACAAGCAGCAGCTTGTTGGAAGAATATTGCCCACTGATGCATGGTATTTGCTAGGTGTGAGCAAGGGCTGCTCTGTACTTTTCATTTTGCCACCGTCTCTACCATACCATGTTGCTTTATATTTGTAGCTTCATTTATTTGCATAATCTACCACCTTCCAAAAAATATTTGAATTTGCTGGTTTTGCCTTAAATAATCTACTTACACAAACTGCAGGTTTTCCTGAGCCTTTTCATAAACAGGCTATAACAGGGGACTTAATATCAAAAACATCACAGCAAATAGCTCCAACATTTACCTCTAGAAGTTGTGCCCTTCCTTTTCCCCTGGCCATGCCCTCACTGGGTTATATTTGTTTACTCTGCTTTCTCCTATTCATTACTCACTGATGTCTCCATTCTTAGGGAGAGCAATTCTCTTCTGCAACTCTAAACCGGGTGCAGAAAAATAAGGTTCTCCATTTATAGGACCCATCTTCCTTAGAAAATGATTAGACATGTCTTATGCAGCCTTTTTCTTTGGAGTCTCATTCCCTACACCTCCACAAACACATACACACTCAGCAGCTTATCAATGTATTTTTTCCAAACAAATGTGAGAAATTTTGGTGACTAAAATTTTTCTGTATTTGCTACATAGGAAGCTGAAAACCCAAGGTCCTCATCAGGGAAGACACGAAGAGTTGGGATATTTCAAGAAAAGCAAGAAGCAATGGTCACATGCTTGGGAGTTGTAAGTCTGATGGAAGGAGAGACCTTCCCTACCTCAGAATTGAGGGGTTGAGAGGGGGCACTTTGAAATTAGAGTGGAGGTTTACTGGAATAACAATGGAAAAACATTGAGCTACACTTGAAACAAATCAGCAAGCTCAGCTGGGACCAGTAGAAATGGGAGAGTAGTACTTAGGGACAAACTGGAGGAGCAGTGCCACAGAAAAATGTCATTGAGCAGCAAAGATAATGTGGGGACTTAGAGAACTTAGCAGGGAAGGGAAGGACATAACAGTTTTGTGCTACATTATCCCAATAATTAGAGCTCAGAGCCAGTAGTTATTTTTATGTATTTGTTATTGCAACTCCCCTTTCATGGCCCTTCCAAGGTCTAGCATGGCAGAGGAGGGCAGCAGCAGTTGAGCAGACAAGGCGAAAGGTAGTAGGTAGTAGTAGTTTCCTTTCTATATCTCTCTCTCTCTCTCTCTCTCTCTCTCTCTCTCTCTCTCTCTTTCTGGCTATCCATTATATGTAGCAGATGATTCTACTTTTTATGGTAAAGACGAATAGTCTTACTTCTCTGGGGTTTTAGTATTAAGCAGAAGCATACAAGACAGAACAGACCTGCATTTAAATCATTTCTCCACCATTACTAGCTTTGTAGCTTTGCCAAGTCAGTTCTCTCAGTCTGTCCATCTGTAAATTGGAAATTATGATATCCATCTCTCAGAGTTATTGTAAGAAGGAAATGAGATGATTCAGATAAAGCAGTGGACCGTCTGTCTGGATTCGTAGGTGCCAAGACAAGAAAATTTCTTCTTACTCTTATTTTTAATGCCAACGATCCACATGTTACCATTCACAGCCATTTCCTATTCAGAAAGAAAGAAGTAGGGTTTTAAGTCTCTGGTTCTACCTCATTTATACAGTGGGATTCATTTTGAATACTTTTTCTACTGAAATATATAAAATCATGCAATTATTTCAGAGCCTATTACTCAAAGACCTTTGGAGGAAAATTTCTTCCCCAAAGAAACAACCTGCCAGTCCCAGAGAACTTGCTACTCTCCCATGCCCACTATCATTTAGAAATAATTTATGATACATCATTATGAAAAAGCACTTGACCTTTAGCTGATGCAGGTTTTTCTTTATGCAAACCCTCAACAAGCAGGAGGACAGTGTGCAGGCAAATATTTGTGAGGAGGTGGGACTTTCTCCCTAGTTCAGACCACCTATACGTAAGGGACCTTAGTTGTTTCTCCAGTCAGTCACTTATTCATTCAACAAATGCACTTTGAGCATGAGATATATGACAGGTTACACAAGCCACTAGTCATATGCTGGTAAGCCAGTCATCACATTCCTTGTTCACATAGGCCTTGAAATCTTGAGTGGAGGACAAACATGGACAAATACCCCAACATTGTAGTGAGCAATACAAAGGGAAAAAATGGGGCCACAGTGACAGACAGGGTGGAGGCCTACCATAAAGTGGTGATGAAGGGGATCACTCTGAGGAGGTAACAGGAGTTGAGATCTAAAGATGAAGAGCAGTGGTGAGGCTGACAGTGTGGTCCAGGTAGAGGAAGGCAAGGGAAGTAACATGGCTAATGGCTGAAAGGTGGCCATAGTTTGCCCTATTCTAGGACAAAAGGTCAGTGTTAACTTTGCTTATTCCACTTGGTACTGAAATTTAATCCCATAGTGTTAATGTCCCAAAGGGTTTTGATATCCTTGTTTAAAAGACATGTTATTATAATGAAGTGTCAGTATGTGCTCAGTTCATAATTTTATTCCTACATTTATTAAGAACCACACATTGCATTTATTTTTCATTCCTAAAGTTTTTACTTTGAATGTGAAAACACTGATTCTAAATGTTGCTTCAGTTCCCAAGACACCATCTAGAGAAATACATACTTAACTTATTTACTTATGTGAAATGCTGAATGACAAATATTCATTCTGCCTACTTCTTAATTTCCAATAGTGGACTGATTTTAGAGCATGAGTATACAAGGTTATCCGTGATGTCTACCTGTGGAGCACATTTCAAAGAGAGGCATGACAATAAACTCATATGTACCAAAGCTCTACGTAAAATCAAGGTTGAGTGTGAAATACCAAGGCCCTGAAGTCTTCATTGTTTGTTATTTGAGTTAACGGCACCTGAGTAACTGCAGTCAGATTTCATCTACACAAGTGAAGTGTAGTGGAGAATTGAGTAAATTATCTTTATATAGGCCAGGCAATGAAGGCAAAAAAAAGTGTTGAATTAGCCTGGATTATCCAGATTCTGTTTTATCAGAAGACTACATCAACATTTCAGAATAAAACAAGTTTCAGGCAGTTGAGCGCTGCACTGTGAAGCTGTCTGGAGCCTCTGCAGCATGGGTTCTATCCCTGCTGGCCAGCGAGAATCCCACATGGAGCAGCAGACCTCTTCTGTCTCATCTGCTGCTCCCCTCAGCAGTGTATTTCATCAGTCTGCCTGTTCTGTTCCCCGCTCTGTCTCTGGTGAATCCTCTCACCCTCCCTCACATCTGGCCTCTACCCTGGTTCTTGTATAAATAAATAAATCTTAAAAAAATAAATTAAAATAAATTAAAAATGTGTTAAATAATCATTGTTGATGGGAAAGGTACTGGGTAAATAGCTATCAAAGTCTCCCAAAGAAAGAGTCCTGCCATGAAGAATCCATCCAAACTTGCCCAAATAAGAGAGACTTACACAGTAATTAAATTCTTGCATATTTCTCAAACCCAAAGAGAGGGCATTCAGCTTGGACAAGGTACCTTTCACAATAGCTCTTCTATTAAGGGCAAGGTTCAGAGACTAACTGTGTGTGTGGTTAATTATACCATGGTCTGGAGAAGGAATGGGCACAGACATTTATATTTCCCAGAATCATAACCCTCATCTCCAAGTTTTTTTCGTTTCCTTCTCAAAAGGGTCTACTGGTTGCAGTGGACTAGGCTTTCATGTTCTTATCTCAATTCTCATTGATTCCAGTCTTCAGTGTAATAAAAGGAAAGTAGTCCATCCACTTGATATTGAGTCAATATAGAAGTTCCCAACACCAGTTTGACTTGGTGTTGGTGAATAAGTCTGGGTTCAAATAACTGCAGTAAATGTTAGTTCTGCTCTTCTTCATCATATGTTTTTGGGCAGTTACTTGACACGTCTAAGCTGTATTTTCCTCAAAAGCAGGTCCTAAGACCTGCTTTATAAAATGATGTAAACAATTAAATATAATAATACGTATTCCTTGCCTGACATGTAAACGCTCAACTTGCTTTCTTTCTGCATTTTTTTCCCCAAAGGTGCTTTACTAGTAGTTCCAGGGCAGACTCTCAACAAACATTTACTAGGTAAGTAGGTATATATAGTAATTGTTGAGATCCTGCCTGGAACTACTAGTAAAGTGAGGTAGGTTGGTTGGTAGGTAGGTAGACAGAGTACAACAAAAAAGAGAGAGATCATGCAAAAATGAAGCTGGATATTATCCTGCTCAAATAAGAGATGAAGTGTTTGGGTGTCATAAAAGTCAAAGACATCTGGAAGGAGAAATTTCTGTTCAGGCCGAGCAGAGGCCCAATGGAGAGAACTCTTAAAGACCACAGGCATTGGATCTAGCCACCTCCTCTCATGCTCTGCACCTCTTTCCCCCACTTCCACCTAATGTAGTTCTATGGTTGTGTAGTTAATGAAGTCACCCCTAGGATCCATGTGTCCCCTGTGCCTGGCGAGAAGGGGTTATACCACACTCATTGTTCTTCAATGAGCCAATGTATAAACACAGGACTTTGAACACAGCCACTCCTTCTGTGACTGCTCAGATTCCTGACACTCATTGGTTTCTTTATGCGCAGCTCATAGAAATTCAATACCTTAAGTCAAAAAGGTAGGCCATTAGACAGATAATATAAAAGCAACCTCCAGGAAAGGAGAATGCAAATGACCCTTAGAGCATCTCCCTTGAGTTTCTCTTTTGTCCTATCTTAGCTCTACATGTCTCTGGGTCTTCAATAGAATGTCTTGACAAGGACTGGGTTTCTCCCACCATATGATAGGAGGCATGATGTCAGTTAGGAAAAAAGTTTACCAGTTACAGCTTCAGAGCCTGGAGAGGGAATGGCTCTCTACCTCTGACTCATTTCAAAAATTCCATAGACTGAATGCAATAAACTTAGGTGCAGGAATTAGGACTGGGTGATTTGTTTAATTTGTAGGGAATGCGGGGGATTGGAGTATAATTCTCCAATCACATCATCACATCAGTGATGAGATAGAGCATGTTATCATTGGTTGACACAGCAGGACTGGTGAGCAGGTAATAGTAGAAGGTGAGGAGAGTTGCATAGGGGATCAAGTTGAAAGAGTATGTACCATTTGGACATTTCAAATTTGAAGTTTATGTGGTAATGAGAGTTAGAAATGTCTTGAGGGTACTAGGAATATAAATATAGAATGAGCTGTAGAAAAAGACTTGGGAATCCTAAATACATATTAATGAAAATGACCAGAAGAGACAGATTCACCAGGAAAAGCATGTAGACTAGAAGAAGACAATGTGACAAAACTGTGAGCAATCAGAACACTTAAGTGATGGACTAATGATGATGATCCACCAAATCAGATGGAGAAGGTGAAGCTGGATGGTAGGAAGGAAACCAAGAATGGAGGGATTGTTAAAGAATGAAAAGGCCACTATTCAAATGCTTTATGGGTTACATAAGGTGAGGATTAAAAAGTGGCTATCAGATTGGGCAATTTGGTTTTCTGAATAAAATGTTCTAGTTGCTGGGGAGAAGGCGAGGAAGGCAGGAGCTAACACAAATTTATGTGCATCTCAGTTATTTGGGGATCTTGGTACCATAAACAATCTGCTTCAGTTCCCTAGCAGGGGGCCAGTATTTCTACAGAATCTTCAGGTAATGTCAATCTTCTGGTCCCAATTTGAGTCTTGAAGTTAGATAATGTGACATTACAGATCATAATAAGATGTCATCTCAGACT